TATAACAATTCTGTAATTTTTATAAATTAATCAAAAAATTATTTATAATAAACTATAAAAATTATATAAATCTTTAAAATTTCAAGATATTTTAACCGCAAGTAAAAATTGCAAATATTTTTCTACATAAATACAATACCTAAGTATTCGTCCATTAAAACAATTATTTCTCCATTCACGTAATTGTCCGACTTTTTTTTCCTTTCGTTAGAATCAAGGGGATTGTTAAATATACATGTTCAAAAAAGTCAGCGCGCATAGCTGGAAGATGATCGAACCGCGCCACGAGATCTACGTAGGCCTGATGCCGGGATCATTTCTCGTTGAGCTTACATTCTTAATTAGATCGTTAAATACCGGTGGCATCTCTTCGCGCGCGCGCGTAGAAATGCGACGGCGGCAACACGCGTGATGGTTGCTGGTTGTTGGGCAAGGCAGAGGGAATTGCATTGCATGCCACATAATCGTGGGAGTGTTTCCCATCAAGATACACGTAGGTAGGTATACCGCGCACACTCACGGAGCCCCGGTAATACCCTCTCGCGCATAAATATATCCGCGCATTTACATGCTCGACTCTACGGGGTGGCTCGCGACGCGCGACCAGATAACGCGGCCGATCTTATCCCGGCAGCAGAGCTTGGATTTCGAAACAAATCGAGCCACCCTAATCTGGGACTGTGACAATGATTCTTGCGCGTGTCTCTTTCGCGACGAGGATTCTCACGTCGAAGAACTAGTAAAACTTGCGCTTTTCAATTGTTAAACGAAGTGCGTGTAGTAGATTAATTTTCTACTCATGAAATATTTATTAATTTATTAAGAAATTAGATATATATACAGGATGTCTACTCAAATCTTGTAAAAAATCTTCTAGTTATTTTTGTTCAGAATTCCAGATAAAGACAATATTTTAAAGATTTTTTTTTAATGCAATTTTCTAAAACAAATTTTGTTATTGCATTGCGTGCAAAGAATATGTACTATATTTAATATTTAATTAAGACACTGAATATGTATAAACAAAGATAGATATATTTTTATAATAAGTTTTAAACACATAATTCTTTTGGCTTGTTAATAATATGAGCAAAATTATCAAAGAGAGAATTTTTATAAAAATTTTCTGAGTTTCAATAAAATTCCATGAGATTATTCTCCAGGTACAAAAAAACTCCCTTCGAATTTTAGATTTTCTATATTTTCCATGGAATAGACATCCTGTATATACTGCTTTACAATAAGAAACACAAAAGATTGGTCTCAACACAGAAAAGCAAAACCTGCTTTTCTTCACGCCAGATTTCGCAACGCGACGCGAATCGCCGTCTTCGAAATTAATCGCGGGATTCTTGGGAAATGTTACTGATTGCGGGATAAATGGCAGAGTCGGTTGTTCTTGCAATTAAGGATCTAGCCGAGAGAAAGAGAAAGAAAGAGAGACAGCGAATTATCGTGGCGCGGGCGCGTTCCTTTTCCCGTATAATTACGATCGATGTATCGACGTCGGGGCGTAATGATCTCCTGGGCGACGATTATTCAAACGGCGGCGCGCCCGATCGTTTCGGACCACCGGGTATGCACCATCTCGTGCATGCACAACGCCGGAGAAAGCTGAGAGGCGGCCGATCTTAGCGAGCTAAACGTACTTTATGTATCGTGCCCTCGTTCCGCCGTTTTATCCGAACAATTAGACACGTGATCCGACGGCTACGGGGTGTACGAAAAAAAGCCGCAACCCTCCATCTCGCGGGCGGTGCGAGGAATTCCCGCTGCGAGAGAAAGAGAGAAAGGGAGCGGAAAGAAATTTATCCGCTCTCGTCGAGCGGACACGCTAATTTCACGTCAATTACAAGCGATATGTAGGTATTATAATCGCACGGAGTCTTCCCAACGCAATGTTAAATATATGTATTAAATGTATATTAAAAAAATGTGACACAGATATATAGAAAAAAAAAATGAGAAAAAAGGTACGATTTATTTAAATCTCACAATCAGCTATTAAAATTAAAATATAACTAATGTAATTTTTATAACCAAATTGGTTTTATCGTAATAAATAGACACATTAATTTACATTTAGTTTAATTATTACCCTTTTAATAAATAAAAAAATAATAATCATAAAAAAGAGAAAAAGGGAAAAGTAACGAATAATCATAAACTATGAAAATAATAAATTAATAAATAAAATTATATTAATAACAAATCTATCATAAAATCATATTTTGATATTATTTGCGTCTCAAATCGGTTAATTGTCATCGCAATAATCTAGATATTTCTCACGATCCTGTTAACTATCAAGCGTTAATTATCAAACGCTTGTATTTATATGGAACATACGAAGCAAAAGTTTGAGCGACGACCGTTCGTTATCTCGTATGCGATCTTAAAGCGGCATAACCGGCCTCGGTGCAATTAATAATGTATTTCGCATTCGTTACTTCTGTGTTTCGCTATGTAGTGACACACCTCGATTAGCGTAATAACGCGGCTCCGTGCGCGGCTACGTGCGAACATTCATTCCACTTTTCATTTCAAACGAATTCATTCGCGACCGCGAATATGATTACGGACCGTTTCCTCTCTTTTACCATTCATTATGTTAAATTGGGCGGAATGATGTGTCCTGGCCCATTTACTTTTTAACCTTCACAATGGCGATCCTTTAACCCCGTAATAAGTAATAAGCTTATCTTTCTGCGTCGGCGTTTTATCTCCGTGATGATATATTACAGGTGATATGTTACCGGTAATATATTGACTGGTATTTATTCCTAACTTGTGTGCGTGCGTGATTGTTATCAGTAAATTAATTTAAAAAAATTTAAATTTTAATATAATATAATAATAAATTTTTTTTTTCTTTCAAATAATAAATGATTAAAAATAAATTGTTTTCAACTAAATTTGCAAAATTAATTAAATTAATAAAATATTGAAACCTTTATTTAATTTCTAGTTAATTTTAATATAATTTATATTTAAAAATTAATAGATAGAAAATCCAATTAAAATTTTATTTTTTACATTTTTGTATCATACTTTTCTATTATATGTAACTCGACAAGCAAGTTAATTAAAAACACACTGTTTAATCTATTGATCATCTATACATGCAATATCATCTATATCCTACACACAATTGTGCTCCTAAAAATATTATTACACTCGAAAGATTGCACATAAGCTAAGAGTTACGTGTTTCAGGATTAAATGTTAGATTTTATAAAGAGAAAGGAAAGAGAACGAATGATACCTATAGCAAGGATCGAAAGAGCGAGGAAGAAAAGAACCAACCGTCCGGCGATCGCGTTCAAGCGCAGAAAGAGTAGAAAAAGTCGAGCGGGGGCAAAAAGGAGGAGAGAGGCGGAGGTGGTTCCTCGAGAATGGGACATTAGCATAAGCTAAACCGAGCTAAGCGCGCCCATATAGCACGGAAATAAATAGCCCCCCGTCTCGTATCTACGACGAGATGCTTTACCATGGACCATCGTCGTGGTCGCCGCCGCCGCCGCCGTCGTCGACGTTCTCCTCGTCGTCTCTCCTCGTCGACCTCCCCTAAACTAAAATCTCACCGCCCGTACGCGAGTCGTGTGCGTGCGAATATGCGTGCACGTACCATCAAGAGGACACACCGAGAGGAAAGGATCGCCCGACCGAAATCTCCCCCAATTGTGTATGTGTGTGTATGCGATAATAGTGGTTCCTCCTGGAGAAAGGAGCAGATGGGCCGGGAGATAACTCGCGCGAGCGCTCGTTCGGACAGGATGCGGTTGTCATCGGATGCGGCGCAAGAGAAAGAGACAGAGAGACAGAGAGAGAGAAACAGAGAGTGAGATAGATGAAACGGGAAGAGATAGATACAGGGACTAGAGATTGGCTTCGGAGAGCGAGAACACGTTACGATGAGAGACGGACGGGAGGGGAGGGGAGGTAGAGAAACGCATTGTCTCAATGTAAGCTCGATGACGATCACGGCACAACGTACGTCCGCGTCGCCGCCGCGGCGCTACACATTGTTACGTCAGTGAATTGTCGTCATGCCATCGTCGGGTCTCTCCTGGTCCTGGACGAGAGGATTCAGCGTTGCTGGATGACAGTCGCGGGCGATAATATCTACGCCACGTCGATTAGACCAAGCCTACGGTCAGTGAGCAACAAACAACGAGAGAGCGCGCGGCTTCTCCAGATAGAGAAAGAGAGAATGAAAGGGAGAGGGGAAGGGAGAGAGAGACTCACGCCGCTTAGGCTCGGAGAGTTCTTCCGGCGCTCTCCTGCCACCCGGTACATAGTATAGGAACTGTATGATGCTTCGCGATCGGGGGAAGAGAGAAGGAGGGAGAGAGAGAGAGAGAGTATTGTCCCTCTCATGCGCTGCCAGGCTTCTCTCTAGGCCCGTCGAGGATCGCGGCTACGTGACAACGAGCGTCTTCGAGATAGCATCGTCATGACGATTATAGGCGAGACAGACGGGCAGGCGCGGGTAATACAGACGATGACCGAAGTATCGTGTATGAGAATACGTTATAAAGACCCTCGTGCTAGACGCAAAAACGTAAAGTCGAATGGTTTTCTAGTTCTTTGAGCACAAGCGCCCTTCGTTTCCCAAAGGAAATTCACGAATGTCGTTGCAATATATAGATAATATTTCAATAGATAATATTTACGCGATATATCTTGTGTGTGTGAGTAAAACTTTTTATTAATAAAAAAAAGTCTCGAAAAAATGTTCGGCAGGCAAAAACTCGACTTTTAATAAATAATGAGCTAAGAGAGTTATACGAGAATTTTAAATAAAACTATCGGATTATGCTTAGAAATCTCTCGTTTTGAATTTTATGTAAAAATAATTATATGCATGATATAAAGTTGATTAAAATTAAATAAAAAATTATCTCTGTAATTCAGTTTAAAATATTATAATAAAATAAAATCAACCTAATTTAATCTAGCTATACAAGAGAGCGATCAAATATTAATTTCAAACTCACCGGTGGTGAAGAGGACGATGGCCTTGAGACAGCTGTATTCCGCGGAGTCGACGTGAAGCGCCTTGAGTTTCTCCACTTGTTCCTGAAAGATCCTGATGTGGTCCATGAAGGCGACCACGCGATCCGCGGCCATCGGCGAGGCGTGAAGTCCCGCCGCCGCGAGAAGCGGCGCCACGTGGAGAGGCATCGAGCACTGGCTCGCGTTCAGGACGAACAGCTCGCTCCACACTAGCCTGAGCAGCGCCACTTGGTCCGTCACCTGGAGATCCGGGAAGAACGGGATGTTCCGGGCCCACTCGACCGCCGAGAAGAGCAGCCGCGCCGCGAGCTCGCAGATATTGTCGATGCCCATGATGTTGTTGGGCTGCATACACTGGCCGTATCTCGAGGTAGGATACGGCTCCGCCCTCAGCAGCAGGCTTATGTACGACGAGAGGTAATTGTGTCCGTTTAGGCCGGCGCACGCGACCGCGTCCCCGTTCGTCAGGGCAAACTGGCCCGGCAGACCCGGCAACGAGGGTTGCGACGGCGGTACTCGCCCCCTTTGCACGGCTGAAACAAGAATGAAGGCATCGAGACGCTTGATAATGTGAAGACTCGTGTATCTACCTAAGATTCTGATCTCGCTCTTTCACGTTACACGGTACGATCCGCCATCGCCGTCTTGATTCGCGTACGAAGACGCCGATCGAGGCAGCGAAGAGTGGCATAATAGATCGAGCTTACGAAATTTTTTTTCCAGGATCTTAAAGCGCAGTGCGAATTAAAAAAAAAAAAAAGTAGAAAAAATAACATGTGAGTGTTTTAATTGACCGCGTCCCCGTTCGTCAGGGCAAACTGGCCCGGCAGACCCGGCAACGAGGGTTGCGACGGCGGTACTCGCCCCCTTTGCACGGCTGAAACAAGAATGAAGGCATCGAGACGCTTGATAATGTGAAGACTCGTGTATCTACCTAAGATTCTGATCTCGCTCTTTCACGTTACACGGTACGATCCGCCATCGCCGTCTTGATTCGCGTACGAAGACGCCGATCGAGGCAGCGAAGAGTGGCATAATAGATCGAGCTTACGAAATTTTTTTTCCAGGATCTTAAAGCGCAGTGCGAATTAAAAAAAAAAAAAAAGTAGAAAATATAACATGTGAGTGTTTTAATTTAATATACAATCGAGTATTATTTATTATCCTTCTTGTAGAAAATGCAAAATGTATATTTTTTAATGCGACTCTCTTTTAATCATCTATCTTTGAAATCATTTCGAGAATTAGAAAAATTTCGACATACTCATGAGAATTTTGACAAGCCTGTGCTTATGACACTTATCTATGTAGTCACGCGTCATCGTGTTCACGGCTTCAGCAGAAAAGAGAGGGCTCTTTCACTTTTTCCACGATCCTTGATTGAAACCGTATCCAAATCGTGGTTAGCTCATCTTCGATCGAAAATATATACTCATTCGAGACATAAATGAGTATCGATTGTTACATAAACGTTTCCTGCGATCAACGTGAGGATCAGACGAGCGCATTTAACGATGAACAAGCCGGACTTCGAGCAACGTTTTGGCAACGATCGTATATGAATATCCCCTAAGTAAACATTATAGCATCAAGGGCACTCTCTCATCTGTAGCCGAGCGAAGGATCCGCACGATCCGTCAAAAATCTGACGGGCGGATTGCGCCACGCTTGTCTATACATTGACAGCGCGAATTTCTACGGTCGCCCGAGGCGATCATTCTCGTTCGAATACAGACGTGACGTAACGAGTGGATCCTCGCCGACCATCGTGCTAGCTAACGGTCCGTTTCGAGCGAGAGATCGTTTCGTACGTTCTTCGTGTCTTCGAAGAGGGCTTCGTGTGCGTGTCGGAGATACATATAACTCAGACTCATTTACTTCGCTACGTATACGCTAGCTACTTCCAAGAAGTCACCGACGAGAAGGTGCACGACACCTGTACCGGAACCCGGACGAATCGCGGCAATACCCTCGAGTGTCTGCAAATATTGTGCAAAGGCAAATATTGTATACGCACGGCCGTGACGCGGCACGTTCAAGTACACGCAAATACGATCGCCTAAGAGAGGACACGACCTATGCCGCCGGTGTCGGCGATTTCGATCGGGACTACGAATTTCGCCGAAAGCCGTTTGCGCGATTATTACCAGTTCATTGATCGTTATTATCATCATCATCATTATCTTCATCATCATCATCATCATCATATCATTGAGGTTAATGCTCCTTGCAATTGTGAAACAATGTACTTTGATAAATTTACCTATATACACTTTTTTTTACTCAAACACGTGTGCTATTAAATAATTTGTATAGTTCTGTTAAATAAAATCTAGGAACTAATCATTTCAATATTATAATTATAATATTACAATCTAATAAGGATAAAATTAGATGCATTTTTACAGCAGTGTTTTTATATAAAAAATGTAATTACATATATTAAAAATGTATTCAGTACGCTACATTATAAATTTTTCTTTTTTTTTCTCATACGTGTAACACACGTGTCTCATATATTTTAAAAATTTAACTTTTCTTTTGTATCTTTTTTTAATGAGTCCTCTCTTTTCAACCTCAACATCGACAAAAATCATATTTACGATTTTTCAGTTATAGCGTAAATTTCTCGTCTTGAAAAGCCATATCGATGACTTCCTCGTTGAAGCTTTCGATCGCGGGCGAGGATCGTATCTTTCCGCCGTGCCCGATCATGCGAGATGTCCTGCAAACCGTTATGTACTTATAAACGCGTCTCTGCCGCATTCTTCGGGCGCGATTACCGCGATTATTACCGGACCGCGTATTTTTCACGCGCGTGCTTATACATACACATATACGGCGGAGAAAGAGGAGGAAGCGACGACGACGACGACGCGATTACTCTGTTGAGTAACGACCGCTCTTGCGCGATTGTCCACCGCGCGATTGCGCTCGTCTGTCCGCATAACGCAATTACTTCGCGTTACACGAGTGTGCTTTCACTCGCGATAATTGGCAAATGACGGGGCAACGCGTGCGCGTGACAATGCTGAAAACGAGGGACGAGCTGCCGACGAGCTCTTCGTAAATCTGCGCTTCAACTTCTCGACGATTCAAGTAGGTAGACGAATTATTTAAATGCGTGCTCGCCATAGAAACCTTCGGGCTGTTCAAGGTTACATTTTTCGCGATGTAATTTAGAATAATAACACTTTGCGTCCACTTGCACGCCCACCTTTCTAAAAATATCGACTTATATACGGCAATAATTATTTTTGTAATAAAATGTCAATTGAAAATTTGACGTAAGAGAATAAAACTGTTATACATTTTTTGGAGAAAATTATGTGTCTTTCGATTATGAAATATAAGAATTATTTCTTCTATTTTTTTCCTAGGTAAATATCAGATAAGTTTTTATTTACTTTATATTTTTATTTCATCACTTATGCCAAGTGTCTTCAAGATTTAAACTATTAAGACTATAATAACAATATAGCATTGTGCGTTAAATCATCGTGACCCATGTTATAAGGGAATGGCGGAGCTTCGACGACATTCTGGAGGGCTCTCGATCGTCGGAACGCGGAACCGAGAGAGAGAGAGAGAGAGAGAAAGAGACAGCATTGAGAGCGCACTTAATCCTCAAAAGGGAACCGTCTAGGACGTACCTCGGCAAATTGCGACTCGTAACAACGCGTGGGCGTACGTACGGTGCACCGATGCAGCGCTCGTGTTCTCGGAAGAGATAGCGGCTCGTGAGCGAAATGACGGGAGCGAGAAAGAGTACACACTCGTTCTAGCTCGCAAGAGACTAGCGCTGATGCTGGACCAGGAGAGAGGGTGGCACGCTAAAAACGAAACGGAGAACGGACGAGGAGCTGCGGCAGCAGACGAAGAAGACGACGCAGAAGAAGAAGAAGAAGAAGAAGAAGAAGGTGAAGAGCGAGAAAGGAAGTCTTTCACGTACGAGACTCTCCCGCTTGAGAGAGTCGAGACTCGGAGAAACGGCGTCCCGCTGAGAAGCGCCTGGATTCCAGCCTCCGCCCCGCGGCTAACGAAGGGAATGGGCTCTCTCTCCTTCCTTCTTCATTCTTTCACTTCTTTTTCTATTCGTCTCTCCTTTCGTTCTCCTATTCTCTGCTTTCCTCGCGGGAGGGTCGGTCCCATCTCCCCCAGGGAGCGTGGGGGGGATCGACGAAAGTCCCATTTAACGCCCTGGACCAGCGACGCCGCACTTCCGCGATATCGATGCATCGATAATAAGGCAAAAAGAGAGAGAAAGAATCGTGACAATGACACGAAGTTGACACGCGAAACCGGAGATAAACATGTTTCGAGCATGCGGGTGAACTTGTCCAGATCGACCGATATCGCCGAGAGTGATTCATCGGCGGTGACTCGTGGCCTTTTTTCTCCTCATTTCTTATGCCGACATCTCGGCCCGTCTTCTCCAAAACATTCTTCGTAATCGCATACGCATTCGCAGGATCGCGACTGATCGTCCGCGCGGATAGAAAAGAGAAGAGCGATCGACGTAAAATGCAATTAGAAAAATGTCGAGAGAAATATAAGATCAGCCTAATTGCACGAGAAAAAGGAGGAAAAAATATGTTTCCATAATTCTTCAATTATAACAAATAAATTCTCATCTTTACGAAAGAGATTCTCAACCAAAATATCCTTGATTTTATCTCTATCTAATAAGTTTGATTCTATTTGTATCTGATACAAATTTTAAAAAGTAAGAATTATATAATAAAATATAAATCTCTTTTTTTATATTTACATAATTTTTTTAAAATTTTGTATACTCTCCCACACTTACACGATATCTTAATAATTTTCTATCTTATCAATATTGGTATTCATGATACTCCGATGTTAATCTCCCAAGTATCCCCGAATCGGAGCATCTTCCAAGACGATGTGCATATTTCTCAAGGAGGAAACCGGACAGATGGGAATAGTTGCGTATCGACCTGGCTGAGTTCGCAAGCAAAATCGGAACGTCCGTGGTCCATGGCGAGAGAGACGATCCGCGCGAGAGGCGAACGTCTCGAGAACGGATCTCGACGGGCCGGCGGAGAGGATGCGAATTAGCATGATGCGGTTCCCCGATAGCGCCGAGTGCGCGCGCGGCGTAAACGTGCAGTATACGTTACGGTGTATGCAGATTCGGTATACCGTTACCAACCACCATCGTAGTCATCTACCCGATTCGCTCGCTCGCTCGCCTTGGCTCGTACCTTACCTACCCACCAGGCCGCGTGACGTCGTAGTCGCAATCAGGCGATACCGTCTCCAACGTGCCGGATTAACCGCATCTCTCGGTCCGTGGTTTCTCCTCGTTAAAAGACTCACCGCTCGGGCTGATGCGCCGCGTCGCGATTCCCGATACAAGTCGCTACTGTACTTTGTTTGTACCGTGTTGCAACGTGTACGTAGATATCGTTAATTATCGCAAGATATAAATCGGATTAATCAATCACAAAAACTCGAGAACCTTAAGTATGACATTCTATGGTTTCTAGTATTTTCTACGAAACAATTAATAAATATTATTTTTTAATGAGAGATTTAATATCTTTCTATAAAAAATGAGAAGTTTTACAGGAAAAATATAAAAATATTTATTAAATAAAAATAATTCCAATTTCTCTCTTTCTTAGGATTAAATTATTTTAATACTATATTTGAGAATGTAAGTAGTAAATGCT